AACTTTTCAGCCTCTTCAAACATGTGTTTGTGAAGAAGCCTGCTCAGCCTAGAAATGAAGAGTAGTCACATTAAGTCAAATTACATCAACATCATATAGACTATAATGTCATAAACTTGAATTAAATTAGGTACCTGTTTTCAGGTAAAGCCTCTGTGAAGGATCGAACAACCACAGAAGCGACTGGCTCGCTTCGACTATTTGAAGAGCAAGAAAAAAGTTTAATGTTTGAACGGTAAGCAAAGGCCGATCATCACAATAAAACTCACTCAGACATAGCCTACCTCTCTGGGTTCTCACAAATCCCCTCGACTAAATAAAATGCATCCTGGAATTACAGAAAAAAAAAAGGCAACCAACTTTAACATGAAGAAATCTCAACAGACAGAAATTGCAGCAGCAAAATTAATGTAATGCTTTACTTTGTGTTGACTGTTTACCATGTTTATTTTTGTGTGGCCGAGACAGGAGACAAAGGAAACATCCAGAGAGTAGCAAACTGTCATAGAGGGCAGGAATCGTATTTGCAGTGAGCTGATCTGAAAAATTCAAACCCAACATAACGAGTTCAGAGCAGATCTCTGGGAAATCATCCGTTAAAGCTTCTTAAAACTGATTTGTACTTCTACCTGACTGTTGTCTTGCTTTGTCAGCATGATCATCTTCATGCTGCCTTTATCTTGGCTGTAATACACACGTGAATGAACGTTTTCAAAACTGTTTTAACAAACAGTACATGTTCACAGTTACAGTATGTTGTAAAACAGTGATACGTACGCCACCATGGAGGCAGAGCCACATTCTGCAGTGAGCTGAAAGTCGTGAACGGCGAGTTCTGGCCAACAGTGAATCATGACAAGAAAGTGCAGATCCCAAAGACTCAGAACATCCTGAGACACAAGGATAGATTTCAAACTCAAATTCTGATTGCTCTAAAAGTTCGAACTGTTTTACAAAGCAGGATCTCACCTCAGTGTCGAGGATGTACAAAAGGTTATCCACCACCACCATCTTCCTTACACCTGCAAAGACACAAAAACAGCTCCTAAAATCATCACTTCTTAAATCAGCATTAGATTCAACATTTTGCTTATATAACCATGGATTTCTCTCTGTGAAACAAACGGCAGTGGATGGAGCAAAGTTTGCTTTTCTTCACGTCTGAGTTTATTGATGAGGTTGATGAAGTACTCCTGCTCGCTTTTTCCCAGTAAAGGTTTTTAATGGTGTTCACGGGAACAGTGCTGCTGTTTTGGATACTAGAAACACGTTTTCTTTCTCCCCACCTGAGCGTCACCACCTTGGTAACAGCTCTGCCTCTTTGCTCTTCACGGTGTATACCGTAAACAGACTCCGGCGCCACATTAAACTGTGGTGGCCCGTCATCACTGCTGCTGTGTTATCAGTGTTTCTGTTTCAAACTGGGGACTGTGTGAACTTAATGTTGTCACTTTTTATTCACACGCTGCTCCGAAATAAGTTTCTATTTGCAGGTCTGTTTTTAGTCACAAATGTGGGTGAAATGTTCAGGTTTACATCGTTTATTACAACAGCAGCCTACAGAGCCGTGTGCTAAATGAAGCATTGAAGCAGAATCTAATTATTCTAGTTCTAGTTCTAGTTCTGTCTGTATTTCATTTTACTTTTGGTCTCATACCAGCAAAAGTTCTAGTTCTGCAATGAATCGTTGCAGCCCTACTTCCAAAAAAAACAAAACAACTTGGGAACTAAGAGCACTTACCCGGAATTAAGCTCCTGTCAACGGTCTGAGCAAAGCACATCTTAGCTTGATGAGGGTCCATCCTCCAGTGAGTCAAAACATTTTCTTTATCCCCCTGTCAAGATGAAAATATTGTTGTACATGATATAATGAAACGCTTGCTTTATGTTATATGAGGACTATCAAATATTTAAAATGCACTGACAAAACTGTGAGCACAAGGCAACTGATTTAGAATGACTCTGATTTAAAGACATATACACAGTCATGGTCTATGTGAATGTTTTTTTGTGCAGCACAACAATGCTTCCACGCACATATTACTAAATGAGGATCAATGAGTTCAGTGTACGCACATGGCCTCCAATTCACCAGAGCTCAGTTCTATTGAGCACCTTTGATATGCGGTGGAAAGTCACATCATGCATATGCAGCTGACAAATTTTCAGCAACTGTGTGATGTTATTATGTCACTATAGATCAGATCTCTGAGGAATGTTTCCAGCACCTTGTTGAATCTGTGCCGCAAAGAATTCAAGCAGCTCTGATAGCAACAGGGGTCTAACCCAGTCCTAGCAAGGTGTACCTAATAAAATGTCCACTGTAAACTTGCCATTAAAAATGGTTTTAAACTTGCAGTATTTGGAAAAGATTTTGAGTCATTTACCATTAAAAAGTGTAACTTTTGCTGGTATGAGACCAAAAGTAAAATGAAATACAGACAGCCGGACAGAATGACTAAAACATATCTGAAACACTATAAGGTGTTACAATCATTTCTTAAAATTCTTTCAATATGCTTCCTTTATCATGTAACACTTATCTCAGAATTGTAGCTGGAAGTCAAATTAATGAAACTTGACACTGATAGACACTGACCCCAATCATCAGGTGGACTTCATGGCCCAGACTGAACATCACTGCTGTGCTACAATCCTCCTCGTGGTAATCCTTGGTGGAGTAAAAATCTATCTTGATCAAAGACTGGAGCTGAAACAGAGAAATGCGTGACTATTTCTGCGTTGCTGAAAGAAAAAATTTTTTGCTTGTGCATAAAAAGAGTTTTTGACCTTAACTTACCTCCTTTAGAGCTCCGACATCCATTCTATCAATAGCTGGAATGACAAAGGACAGAAATCAAACAATGGCTTT